TGCAGAGCCCTTAGGGCTCTGTGTGAGAACTTCTCACACTGCAGAGAACCAATTTTTTTCTTTTTTGGGTTTTCAATTTTTAATAGTTACAACGTTTATGGAAGGTTTAATTATAACAGGGAAGGGAAGGGGGAGGGGGGAAGTTCTAAAGTTAAAATTTGTTATACTAGTTCAAATTTAAATGGTTCCAAAGCAGTGAGCATACTGTGCCTTAAACATGTATGTCTACTCTAAGACCTCCAAGATACATACATACCAGGCTGCTTGGCACAAAGATCTACAGCAGGAACTATCTGAAGACCAATGGAACGAGATTTGGAAAACACAACACACAATTTCTAAATCTTTGCCTATACAAGAAACATCAATTAAAGTTCTACATAGATGGCACTTAACTCCTGTTAAATTAGCTCACATGCACTCTAATATTTCTTCCGCATGCTGGAAACTATGCGGTAATAAAGCAAATTACATACACAATTGGTGGACATGTCCTAAAGTCCAACAATTCTGGCGACAAATTATTGATAGAATTAAAACATTAACAGGTCACGAAATACCTATGGACCCAAATTTGATTCTATTAAATCTGTGGCCACCAGACAAATTCTCAACTAACACTCAACAACTGATAAACGTTATGATCACAGCAGCTAAAGTGTTAATTGCTAAAAAGTGGAAGTGCCAAAATATGCCTTCAATAGAACAATGGACACACAAGCTATGAGACTTTTTCTTACCTGAAAATTTTTCAATATATAATAAGCCTCTTCAAACCGAATGCGAGATATATAACCCATTAGAAAAATGGGCTCCTATTTTAGAAAAAGTCACTATTGACAAATTTGACTGGGAAACAATTTCTAAAGTTAAATATCAAATTATGTTATATGGGCAGTAATGTTATCTTAACAGGTTGATGTTTCATATAGAAAGCTTGTTATTGTAAATATGTAACGTTTTATTAGTTAAGAGTACTGATATTGTTTTAAAGGAACCTAAATATTTTTCCTTCGTTGTAATTTCTCTTCTACCTTGTACCTTCTGGACCTTTATCTAATAAATAAACATTATTTGTTTCAAAAAATTTACACAAAAAGTCCAATCACCACCCTCAGCAAAAAAGAGGCATAATCAAAACATTAGCAGACCACGCAAGACGGGCATGTGAACCGCACTTCCTCAACGATGAACTAAATCATTTAAACCAATCACTTCAAGCAAATGGCTACTCCAAGAATGAAATCAGAAGAGCAATTAAACCAAAGGTAAAACAAACAACTGAGGAAAAACAGTCTCCCACAGGAAAAGTGTTTTTGCCCTATATCAAAGGAATCACTGATCAGATGGGAAAACTTATGAAAAAACACAACCTACAAACAGTATTCAGACCCACCAGAAAAATACAACAGATGCTACAAACTGCATACCATGCAGCTGTGGACAGATTTACATCGGGACCATGCAGCGTGACATTAATACAAGAATAAAAGAACATGAAAGACACTGCAGAATGGGCCAACCTGAAAAATCAGCAGAGGCTGAACATAGCCTAACTCAAACAGAACACAGTATCTTATTCCAAGACACTGAAAGGCTGGACAACACATCGATTACCATGTCAGATTACACAGGGAAGCCACTGAAATTCATAAACAGAAACACAATTTCAACAGGAAAGAAAAGAGTTTAAAAATAAATAGGGCATGGTTTCCTGTCCTGAAAAACACAAAATGCTCTACATCTTACAATAGCACTACAGATGAGATTAGAATTTCAACAGCCAATCCATATACAAAAGAACCTCCTCAGGAAAACTCCCCCATTAACATGTCACAGCCTGGGGAACTCCTACAAGATAATGACTCAGTCCTATCCCCACCTTCCTGAGTAGATATAAATTACCTGCCTACCATTTTTCTTCTCACCTTGACGCAGAGGGTATTCCATCTTTCTGTGTTATATCTCTGAGGATGCCAGTCACAGCTACTGGCAAAACACCAGGTCCTACAATGCCAAGACCACAGCCATACAGCCCGGAAAATCTACAGCAACTAATTTATCACAAGATTTCACAGCATAGATAGTGGCAAGCATTTCTCCTCCATCCGGTCATTTCCACAGTTTGCCATACAGCCTCTCTCTGCTCTTCCTCATGTAGCTACACCAGCCTACAATCTTAAAGTTCCCAGCCAGGGTTAGAATAGCAAATGTTCTTCTATCATGCTATAAGATGGCCATGTACAAAAAAAATCATGGTTTTGATGGAATTTCAAAAAAGGATAAGCTCTCTGTATAGCAATTCTCATTGCTAAAATGTAAATAGCATACTTAGTTACGCACATGCTAATTGTGCAGAATGAACACTCATTATATAGATCTGATTAACCTACAACTACCAGGTTGCCTGTCAAAGATCCAGGCAACACCCAAGTCATTGTATGCACCCCTCCCGCTCTTCAACCTTAAGTCCTGAATCAGTAACTTGAAAGGCAGCTTGGCAGATTTAGAAGGATCAAGACCCTCAAATCCGCAGTGACAGAAAAGTGGGTAGGACAGATAAAGAGCAATTTCCAGTCATCTTTCTGCTCTAATATACACGACTTCATTGGCATGGCGGGAGATTCTAATTGCTATCCCGCCCTAACGAGTACAATTAAAATTGTTAGGAAGGAGGATTGAAAAGCAACACTGTAGTCCATCTGCTGCATAAGTCAATGCTACATCTACATCTGCCTAATTTTTAAAAAAATCAAAAATGAGAACAAGCAAATTTTATCTATTTTTCCTGCACAACAAAATTCTTCAATTACCTTAATTTTTATCATCAGGCACAATCAATGACTATAAGGTATCTGAAAGATCAAGACACAGAATAATATAAACACCATTTGAAGGAGGCACTCTTGTCTCAACAGTTAATCAACCTTCTGAAAGTGAGGAAAACAAAAAAAAAGTGACACCAAGTGGCCGCTAGGTAGTACAGCATGTTCTCCTACCAGAATCAGCATACTAGACCAAAATGAATATCCATGCACTGGGGTTTGAAATAAACATAATGAAACGGCTGCATTTGATGGTTGTGACAGAAAAGCAAACAGTTCTGGGGTTATGGCAAAATACTTAATTCAGATTAGCTACTGATATTAGACTCCCAATATAAGATTATGGGAGCAGCAAACTGCTTTCCACACTGTCTACATCCCAATGAAATAGAATGTGAGCCAAAGTGTGGATACGCATTCAGATAAACAATGGACATACAATTGGTAACATGAATACTCAAGGGTAAATTTGGTCTTATGCCTCATTCACTTTCTGTCTTCCCTGGGAGCAATGCCGGCTATATCCAGACATCAGCTTCCTGTATTTTTGCTTTGGGACCAGTGCTGAAGCAGAAGCCCAAGAAGGGGTGCCTTTTAAAGTATGAAAAGAGGTCTCTGCTGATCAGGATTTTAAAAAAACTTTTAGACAGATGACCTATTGATTTATTTATTACATTTCTCTCTGCCACCATAGAACACAGAGGCATATGTAGAATTAACTGGAGGCTCCCATTCAAAACACTACCTAGACTCAGGTTTGCTTAGCTTTAGCAAGATTACATATCAGGTACTCTCCAGCTATACACAGTTCTGCGGATCCTTCAAGGAAGCTAACAGATTAAAATCAATTAAAACCATATTAATACCAACAGTATTTAAATCATCATTTTGTTGCATTCTGCATCATTATCTGAGCTAGGCAGGAGGGGCACAATATGACATGGCTGTGGGAAAATGCATGGGGTACTTTTGTAATCAACGTCCCACACCTGTTCTAGTTTAAAAATATTGCCTGGAGACATCCTCAGTCTTAGATGAAGAATCAACATAGCTTCTCTGGGGAAAATTTACACTAAGGCCCAGTTGAAACATTACTTGTGGAGCATGATTGTTGCTTCAATGTGATACAGTGCTACAATACACTGATAATATCTATAACAGAAAACCACATTGGTCAGATGCATGGCCTAGTTCCTTTGTGCATACTGTTGATACAGGGAATAACCATTTAACCTGCCAAATTCTTGTGACTCTTCATTATAGAATTAACAAGTATGGCACAGGACCAGACCTCATAAAAGAAGCAACCACAAATATTCAAATAAGGCTTTTTTTCTGATCCCGCAGAATTACTGTTAATCTAATGGAATATTACTGTTGACCTACGCACTGATGTCCATTACTTGAAAAACCCCAACAGTTCCCACATTCATATTACCAAGGGGAATTCAGACCCCAAAAAAATATTGAGCAAACAGGCACTTAATGCAGAAGTGAACTCCTCGTTTACATTCTATTAATAACACATCAATCACTACCCAGTAAACTAAGCTTTCTCCTGCCAACCTAGCAGTTCAAAAGCAAGAAATTGCAAGTAGATAAATAGGTACCACTTTGGTGGGAAGGTAACAGCGTTCCGTGCGCCTTGGTCAGCGATTTAGCCACATGACCACGGAAACATCTTCGGCTTTGAAACGGAGACGAGCACCGCAACCCTAGAGTCAGATTCAACTGGCTTTCGAGCAAGGGAACCTTTACCTTTTTAAACTAAGCTTTAAGAAACCAATATTGGTTCATTTTGAGGAGGTGAAAGGGAAGGAACAAAATCCCTTCAGTCTCTTGTTACTATTTCTGCTGTAGTGTACATTCTCAGAGCATACAATATAGGCTGGATCAAGTGTTTCTTTTCCACTAATGGCAGAGCCTTTCTCAGACACAGGGAGCTTTGTGCCAGTGCAAGCAGCTTTACACTGGCAGGATATGACTCTTCCACTGCACAAAATCAAACTAGATTCAGTAAAGGCAACGAGTAGTTATTTAGATGCCATTATTGCTTTTATTTTCAGAAATCCAGGTCAAAACAAAACTGCCCAGGATTGCTGTAACAGGTCCCATTTTGCTGGCAGATTATGAAGCTGCTGTCTAGCCTGGGACCTAAAATCCAAAACCACTCACTTTGTTTTCCTGTGTGACAAGTATACTTGCACCTCCTGGTTTCAAAGGCACTTCCTCCATTGCTCCAAATACATCCGTTTCGACAGAGAAGGTCAACTCTAGTCCTAAATCGCTGATATCATTATCTAGAATCCACTGCAAGTTCTTTGCATATTCTGGATCAATAGATGCCACATCCTGATAATTTACAGGAATACCTAGGAAAACATATATACAAAGAGCTCTCATGCATGTTAATTCAGAAATGGATTTGCTTTATTTGTGGTAAAGGAGTGCCCTCTACAGGCACACTGAAACAGTGCAGGGATAAAGAAGGGGAAGAAATGAATGGTAACAGAATCTGCAGCAAATAATTTTTAAACGAAATTATTTGTTCTCAGCTGCCACAAGGACACAACATAATTTATGTCTTACAGAATGCTACAACTATGATCATAAAGAATCACATGCAGTTCTGCAAATACCAGTTATGCTTCCAGGGAGGTTACAATTTCAAACTACAGCTAAACCATCAACAAAATAAGCAGGCTTTAAGGCAAGCAACTTTGAGCTTTAACTTCCTATCCCCATATATAATATGGGAATACTGATATATCTTATGAGGCTGTTCTAAATGTCTACATTAATATGCTCCACATCAATGTTTTAAGTAGTAAAACCCCCGTTCAAAATCCCGTTCTACCATGGAAGTTTGCTAGGTGACCATGAGCAAGCCTATCTCCCCCTAACTTGCTTCACAGGGTGGTTGTTACAAGAAGAAAGAACAATATCGTAAGCTGGGCAAAAAGCAGCATATAATTACCTAAATAAATGTGTGCTAAATAGTGATCTGAACGGCTTATTTACAATCAGGGTGTATACCTCAAGACTGAAGCTATTCTTTAGTAACTTTGTGGCCCTCACTGAGCCCACAGGAAGGGAACACAGAAGGATTTTTCTTTGCTGCAGTACATTATAAACTACATCTTATCAGATTAAAGCCTTAATGGAACCATACCAAGAATATGCTTGTAAAATGACCTCGTGAAGTAAATGTTCACCAGTTGTCGATGATTCAGGGCTAACCCCAAGATCTGCCCAGCAAACCTAAAGTAGTTCAAGTGATCAGGATTTACAGAAGAGTTGCTATTTGGCTGGAAGGTGGTTCCTAGAAAAACAAGAACTTGCTTACAAGCTTTTCAAAATGCATTAGAACAACTAATATCCAATTTATTTTCTATGATTCATGACTCTCAACAGTGACAAAAAATGTTCTCCAGCAAAAAAGTACCCAGAAAAGAAGTCAAGAGAGAACAAATTCAGGTATGTAAATTTCATTAAGATTTTAAATATTTAACTGTAACCCTGAAAATGAGTTTTCAAAGTTACAAACATAATTTGCTTATAATTATCATATTCTTAAATTCCTGTATTTTATGATACCATGCTTCAGTATGTTTTGTTGCTAACATTAAACTCATATTCTTGTTGCTACAGATGTTTTCAACAAGTAGTACTTAAAAAATATCACAACCTCTGAAAAAATTACCAACTAGATTTAGACAATGTGCAATTAAGATACTTGCAGAAGTTCATATTCACGTACAACTGGTATACAAATCTGCATAGCAAGATATGGATCCACTTTTACAGAAAGGAATCCCAAATATGTAATGTGAAGCTGCAGAAAGGGATAATTTTGCATGTCCAAAGTTTATATTCCTGGTTTCGAAGAACTATCATTGAAATGCACTTGGAAAAATCACCATAATATCATTTTATAGTGTTTGAACACTGAAAAGGTGATACACAAAGTCAGATGTTCTAGTCTGAAAAACTTTAAGCAATCCAAAGAATCTCTGAAAAACAACAGTACTAACAGGGCCATCCTACAGAGATCTACACCCTTTTAAGCCCATTGACTTCAATGGACTTCAAATGGTGTAATTCTGCTTAGGTTGGCATAAGGTTGGGTTTTTTAAATTACACTCTGTATATTTTAAATTTTAATTTGAACAATGCCTTGAGTCATGAAGAAAGCAGAGACAAGAATATTTGAATAAAGAGATAAACACATAGAAATAAATGGACTCCACAGCTTCATGTGTTGCTTTTTGAAAGGCTGTATACAGCTAAAATGACTACAATTATAGATAAAATATTTCTCCAGAATAAATAGGTAGCTATAGCCTGTTGTTCTACTTTAAAATTGCTTCCAGAAGTTGCCACTCTGTCTCATTCTTCAAACAGATTGCTGGATTACAAACTAATGGGGGAGGACGTCTTCCTCTGCGTGCGGAAGTCATAGCTGGGATTCCTACCATTTCTCTCACACCCTTCAGACTACAGGCATAGCTGGGATTCTGCCATTTCTCTCACACCCTTCAGACTGAAGACATAAGCCAAAATCCAGAACACCAAGAGCTGCAGGGAGATCTGCTGCATGGCAAACTAATTTTGAAACTGAGTTTATGCAGTAATTTGTAGTATAACATGGCTTTCTGCAATTTAATGTCAAAATCCATCATGGCTCGCACAAACCCATTGCCAATGCTGAAGTAGCTTTTCAATGCAATTCTCTGCAGTTATTCCAATCTAAACCCACTGAAACTGACTTAGTCCATTGACTTAGACTGAAGCTACTCTGCTGAGGACTGCACTGTTTGGTGCTTGCCGAGTAAGTTTAGTAAACACTCCACAATTCTCATACAGAATTCTATGATGTGTACCACAGGAGTTGAACTAATTCAGAAGGCACACCCTTACAATTAGGACCAAATATAAAAACCTTTGTGGGAAGGATTATTTCTGGCAAGAGACTCTTATTAGCTGTTCCAGATTATTTCCAAAATTATGTTATAAGAGACAGCAACACCAACATACCATCCGCAGACTGAGTAAAAAGTGCATAGTCTGGGTTAACTATCTCATTGGATAGGATATCAAACCACTCACGTACCACGCCTTGACCCTAGGTGCAAAAAGGAACACAAGATGATGCAACTTTTTAGTTACGGTTCTGTATATGGTAATATGCATTTTTAATCCTGACAAAATGATTATTGAAGTACTACAATACTGCTCAAGAGGAATTTGACTCACATTCTGAAAAAAGGTGGTCTGGCTACTTAAAAAGGGATGGTACAAAGTTTGCCTGTGTATCTTGCTCTGTTCAGCACAGTGGATTTCTACCTGCCTTGGGCCAGGAAGCACATCATTAGCACCTAACACCTGCAGCTCCTCCTTTGAGAAGAACCACATCTGGCTAATGCTCACTGAGAGCAAAAGGTCTAAGAAAAGAAAAGGGTCTAGCCTGTTAGGCTTTTCTATCCACAGGGGTCTTTGCCTGTGGATGGTGCTCTTTTCTGTTTTGATCTAACTGCATTGGAATCTAACACCACAATAAACCAAGAGACAGAAGCAGACTTTCCTTCTTAATCTAGGGCAGCTTGCTATGAGTTTCGGAACCTGCTGTCCTCAAGACACTATTTTTATAGGTGTCTCATGAAAGCTATGTTTTATGCATTATACAATATATAATTTTACTCACCATGCCTTCTTCACCATGGAAACGCACAGCAATTCCCTGTTTCAGCTTTGCACAATTTGCTTTAGACACAACTTCACAGCTGCTCCTAAAAATAGAATCTAAATATGAAATACCAATTAATTTCTTAACTTGTGTCAACACAGAAGTGTTTTGCACAATGAAGAGGGTATGGATGAAACTGCTTACCTCTGTGGACCAACAGAATATCACTTTCATTGACTGGCCGATGGACCATGTCCGAGTCTTGCTGTCCAGAATTCAAATGCTCATAAAACCATTCACAACGATCTTTAAAGGGCTGGGGGGAGCAACGAAGGGAGACAACAGAGAGCAATCAAACACACAAGAACAAATGTTTCATATACACTGTAAACAAGACTGAGACGGGAGATAAAAGGTTTATGCTGAGCACTGAGAGACCAAATATCAAGAAGACCTACTGTCGCCATGCCGAAGGCTTGGACATGCCTACTGGATTTTTTCTTTTCTTTTCAGCATCACCAGTGGGTTGCCTCCTGAACAGATCAATGTGTGCAATGAGGGAACAACTCCCCTCCCCCCCCCGCCAGGGCAGCCATTCAATTCCCCCTTCATGGTGCTCCTAGGGGGTCCCGCATTCCAGGAACAGTTGGGGGGGGCATTTTCAACTGCAGTGGGAGGAGGGAAATGAGAAAGGCCCATTCTATGGGTGAAAATCCTATCGCACACGGTAAAAGTATGACTAGATCCTGGTCCATGTGCTCTATGCCAAGCTGCTCCTGAAACTGCAGTTTCACAGAGGTTTTCCATGAAGCATGGAGGGCTGCCCTCTGAACAACACAAAGTTGAAAATGTAAAGTGCACCTGAACAACTTCACGACAGCAGAGATTGATGAATGGTAGGGGCTGAACAGGGAGAAGAAGGGAAATGGATCAATTTTAACTAAGAGCAGCATCAACTTGTTTTGCTTTAGGCTTCCCCCCTTCATTGCCTTCATGCCTTCCACAATTCACTGCGGCCAACTAATAGTCAGTAGACTGCTTACGTAGTAAGGCATTGCCAGCAGCCTGACAATGCAAGGAAACTTGGGATAGCATCCAGAGACTACACAAGGACAGGGGAAAGGAGTCAAGCAGCAGTCTAACTGGCATTTATTGAGATACTGTGGTCTGTTATTTGTAGCCTAATCAAAATTTGTCAAATGGATCGCAGTTTAAAGAAGCAATGGTTTATGTCTAAATGTAGTCCGTGGAATAAGAAATTCTAAGACTCTACTGGCCCCTGTTAAATATAGACCATGCTGCAGTATGTAATTGCTCCGGCCCAGGAGCTGTAGAGACTATGTAGCCATGTTCTAATACGCACCCAAAACGTTCCACATATATAATGGGATTCTCATGTTCTAGAAGAATATCATAAATTCAGAAATGGCAATTAATATACGACATCCTAATCAGATGTTCAGCACAACATGTCAAAATGGATTACAGTGTTTTTGTGAGCTGCTTTTAAAAGCGAGTTTTGCTTCTCCAAGTATTTGCAGATACTGTTCCGCAGGGCCTGTAAAACGGAGCTCTTCCACCAGGCTTTTGGGGCCACCACCACCACTGCCACCGTTCATATCTGGCAGCTTACGGAGAGCAAGCCCTACCATCTGGGTCCCACAATTACAGCTCGAGCCGACCGACCGGACATTTGAGGAATATCAAGAAGCTGACTGTACAGCGAGGATTGAACACTAGCACTTTAATATGCTGTAATATTTATAGTTTTAAATTGTGTATTGATGGCTTTTATACTGTAGATTTTATTGTTACATTGCAGTGTTTTATACTGGTTGTGTAAGCCGCCCTGAGCCAGCTCTGCTGGGAGGGCGGGGTAAAAATCTAATAAATAAATAAATACCACTCACAACTGGTAAGGCGTTTACAACTAAGCTGAAGAAAGCTTACCCGTATGACATTATGAGCATCTTACATCAATGTCAACAGCAAACTTCACTGAATCCAGTAAGAAGAAGAGAAGAGATTGGATTTATACCCCGCCCTTCCCTTGGAGTCTCAGAGCGGCTTACAAACTCCTTTCCCTTCCCCTCCCCACAACAGACACCCTGTGAGGTGGGTGGGGCTGAGAGAACTCTGACACAAACTGCTCTTTTTCAAGGACAGCTGTGCCGGAGCTTGTGACTGACCCAAGGTCACAGCAGCAGGTGCAAGTGGAGGAGTGGGGAATCAAACCTGGTTCTGCCAGATTAGAGTCCGCACACTTAACCACTACACCAAACTGGTGGGTTATATTTATTTATTTATTTATTTTTGGGATTTATATCCCGCCCTCTCCAATCTTCAGCTCAGGGCGACTAACAGACGGCCATGCCGAAGTTAAACGTATGCATACAAGCAAAACAACACAATAAAACAATATATCTTACATAAAATTTGGTGCTCTGATAATTTACATAAAAACCAAGATACGCGACATCCCACACTGGCGGCCATGTTCTTCATAGCAGGAGCGCCAGGAGAGGTGTTTCCCAGCTCTATTGGACGACATCTACCCCTACCATATGAGGTAGATGGTTGGAAAATCAGTGGTGGAATAGTGAAGGCAGCGGCTCCCCCTCAAAGGCCTGGCGGAAGAGCTCCATCTTGCAGGCCCTGCGGAACTGCATCAGGTCCCGCAGGGCCCGGATCTCCTCCAGGAGCTCGTTCCACCAGGTGGGAGCCGCCACCAAAAACGCCCTAGCCCTGGTTTGGGCCAACTTCACTCCTCGGGGGCCTGGGACTTCCAGGCGGTGGAAGTTCCCCGATCGCAGTGCCCTTGGGGGAATATATGGGAAGAGGCGGTCCCTTAGGTAGGCCGGACCCTGGCCATTCAGGGCTTTAAAGGTAAGCAGCAGCACTTTGAAGCGAATCCGGTATGCTATTGGCAGCCAGTGCGCTTGCAGCGCCGGCCGGATGTAGTCTCGCCTGGAGAGGCCCATCAACAGCCTAGCTGCAGCATTCTGCACTAGCTGCAGCTTCCGGATTTGCGACAAAGGCAGCCCCAAGTAGAGAGCATTACAGTGGTCCAGCCTCGAGGTGACCGTCGCATGGATCACAGTGGCCAGGTCTTCTCAGCCGAGATAGGGAACCAACTGCCTGGCCAGCCGCAGATGGTAGAAGGCTGACCTGGCAGTGGCTGCCACCTGGGCCTCCATCGTTAATGAGGAGTCCAGGAGCACACCCAAACTCCTAACCTCCCGCGTAGGCACCAATGGTGTCCCGCCGAAAGTCGGGAGAGGGTGTCCCCACTCCCGGCCGATCCAACCCAGGCCCAGGACCTCCGTCTTTGCCGGCTTTAGTTTCAACCGACTCAGCCTGAGCCACCCAGCCATGGCTTGCAATGCCCGCGAAAGGTCATCAGGACTAGAGTCCGACTGGCCGTCCAACATCAGATAGAGCTGAGTGTCATCAGCATACTGATGACACCCAAGCCCACACCTCCGGGCAATCTGGGCGAGTGGGCGCATGTAGATGTTAAACAACATCGGGGACAGCACAGCCCCTGAGGCACTCCCCATTCAGCCCCTGAGGCACTCCCCACTCCGGGACCGCTGCTCCCTTATTGCCACCCTCTGTCCCCGACCTTGGAGAAAAGAGGTAAGCCATTGAAGGGCAAGCCCCTGAATCCCCATGTCGGCGAGGCGGCGGGCCAGCAACTGGTGGTTGACCATATCGAACGCCGCCGACAGGTCCAACAACACCAGTGCCGCCAACGCCGCCACGGTCCAGATGCCTGTGGAGATCGTCAGTCAGCGCGACCAGTACCGTCTCTGTCCCATGACCCGGGCGAAAGCCGGACTGGAAGGGATCGAGGATGGAAGCCTCATCCAGGTAGCTCTGTAGCTGGGATGCCACCGCCCTCTCAATAAGTTTGCCTAAAAAAGGCAAATTGGACACCGGCCGATAGTTGGCCAATTCAGCCGGGTCCAAAGATGGTTTTTTCAAGAGAGAACGGACCATCGCTTCCTTGAGTGCTCCAGGGAACCGCCCCTCAGTGAGGGACTTGTTGACAATCTCCCATAGAGCACCTCGAAACCCGTCACGGCCAGCTTTAACCAGCCAAGAGGGGCACGGATCAAGGTCGCATGTGGTTGGGCGCACAGCCATGAACAACCTGTCAACTTCCTCCAGACTGAGTGGGTCAAAATATACTAAACCCATCTCCAAAGACATACAAGGGGCCTCAAGTTCCCTAACTGTATCAATTGTGGCGGGGAGGTCGCAACGGAGTGCCAAGACTTTATCTCTCGCAGCCAATGTCCAATTCCCTAACATTTTGTCTGCCCTGAGGCAAGGGTGTCAAAGACCGAATCACTCTAAATAATTGGGCCGGGCGGGAGCTAGCAGACGCAATCGAGGCCGCATAGAAATCTCTCTTTGCGGCCCTGACTGCCATCACATAGGAATTCATAAGCGTCCTGTAGGATGTTCTGGACACTTCGTCACGAGCACGGCACCACCGTCTCTCTAGCCGTCTCAGTTCTCGCTTCAGCGAGCGCAACTCCTGGGTATACCAGGGCGCTCGCCTAGCACGAGTGCGGAGAGGGCGCCTGGGAGCCATCTCGTCGATGGCTGAGGAGAGTCGGCTGTTCCAATCCTCCACCAGCTCCTCCAACGAGCCGCCAGGGGGTCTCGGATCCCGCAGAGGCATCTGGAGCCGCATAGGGTCTATTTGGTTCCGCAGGCGAGCCAAAATCAGCTCGCCACCTAAACAGGGTCGGGGTGGGACATTCAGACGGGCCCTCAGGGCATGGTGGTCCGACCATGGCACTGCCGAAACAGTGATCCGGTCCACCGTCACTCCCGCCGCAAAGATCAGATCGAGCGTGTGTCCGGCTCGATGCGTGGGAGCCAAAACCA